GGTGTGATGTTTTTTAAAAAAAAAAAAAAAAAAAAAAAAAAAAAAAAGGAAATCAATAACATTTGTAGCTTTAAGGATTAATCTCTATTTTATTTAGAATTTAGTGTTTGATAACTTTCAAACAATTCAATTTCTGTATATTTCCAACTTACTGAAGGGCACAGGTAAATATGATATTTATTATAATGGGTTTATGTGAAGATTGTTTTAAGTTCACTTAAATTATAAGGTATTTTTTAAAGTGTAATAAATTTTAAAATTGATAGCTCTCAATTATACTGTAATGTTGAATGGCTATAGTCAATGGTTAAATATTAGAAAAAAAAATCAGAGACAGTAGTATTGGTATCAGTGATACTTGCCTTTAAAAAGATGCCATTAAACAAATATTAAAAATATACTGTCTTTATGTTTTATCTACATTGATTTGAAGACTGAATGTGAAATGATTGCAATATAAAAGTATATTTAAAAACATTAATGTTTGAGTTTAATTGAAATGCAAAGTATTATAGAAAATTGCACCATAATCCTCAAATGAAAATAAGTTCCTTTTGGCACATTAGCTTATAGTTATCACTGGTTTTTATTAGGTGTGAAATGGGTTGAAGATGTTCCGTTTTCAGCATCAATAACTGTTGTCATTTTGTAATTGAGTACTTGTGGCCATCCCTGGTATATATCCATCTGCATCATTTACACACAGTTTTCTCTGGCCGTATGCGTGGCACATGTGAACATTTGTTTGTGGTTGAAACATAAGAGCAAGAGCCACTGATTCAGTGCAGAGACATGGCTCTGCTCCACACTCTCTATAAGGCATGATTCAGCAGGCAAAAATGAACATCTCAGCATGAGGACAAACTCCAAGAAGAGTCTCTTTCTCATAGCAAAATCAATAAGCAAAACTTAAGAAAGTACAAAACATAAAAAGGAAAATGATTGAATGAAGGGTCAAGAAAAGAGCAGGGTCGCCATGTTTGCAGCAACGAAAGAAGAGCCAGCGGTGAGGAATGGAGGAATTTCAACAAAAACTGCAGCTCATTTTCAAGTGAACTGAGACTGGACTGTAATACTGTGTCTGTCTGCAGTCTGACACAGTCAGAAGGAAGCATGTGTGAACAACAAGCTCCATTACATGCTGTACGGTAGATCATTTACAGCACACTTACTCCTCAATAATATTACATTTACACAAAATAAAGTTCTGCCTCCATTTACTCATTGCCATGTCAGTTTCAACTTGTATGCTGTTATTTTTTTTCTGTTGAACACACAAGTTTGGACTACTTTTATGATGCTTTTAGGTACTTTTTGTTATTTATTGCCGTGTGGCAGTAATGCAGCTGTCTGAATATTCTTCAAAATTTCTAATTTTTCATTCCTCAGAAGAAAGTCAGGTTTTTAACAACATAAAACAGTAAATGATGAAAGTCTTCATTTTTAGATGAATTATTTTTTTGAATACTGATTACCGCAATAGCATTATCCCACATTGCTTTACTATTGCTTTGCACGATCGAGTCCTAGATGATGCAGAGCTGCAGTTTCTTTCAATAGCATGGGAAGCAAAAAAAAGGGAAAGGTAAAAGACGGGAATTGCAAGGTGAAGGGCAGTCAGTGAGATACTGTGCTATAGACCAGACTCACCCCATCCCTACACAGGCCTGAGGGCTCATTCAGCCCCCCAGCCTACAGCGCCGCCCCTGCACCGAAGGGCGAGAAGTTGAGGTGACCCCTCTGGAAGAGAGGAGAGAAAGACAGAGAGAGACATTTCAAAAAATTCAAAACACATAAACAGCATTTCTTACATGCTTTTCACAATATGAAATCATGTGCTCAATACATGTGATTACCTGTAGCAGATGTGCAGACGTTATTGAAAGTCTAGGAGACTAATCATAAAGAGACTGGGTGATATGACTTTAGTTTGTAAGTATAAGGCTGCTTTGATTCAGTAGACATACTTTGCTTCAAGATGCACTAAGAGGTTTTCATTATTTTATTTCAGTTTAGTTTATTTCAGTTTAGTAGCTCCAAAACATATTTGGACATTTAAGTCACATTACTCAGAGATTGCAGAAGAGAACAGAGACTCGCGTTGCGTTTTCAGTGAATTATTCATTCCAGCATGTTACGCTTTTAAACACGAGCTCTGTCATATTCTGTAATTGTCTCTGAAGAGCGGGAGCCCTCACACGTCACACGCGCTTGTGTGAAGTACAGACTGAACGGATTGTCAACACATCCCACCGCTGTATGGCCAGATCAGACGCAAACTACGTTTTCTCGACTGGATAACCAGTCTCGGTAGTAAAGTTTTGATGGATGAAGACTGCAATCAAGGTAAAGACGATTGCGGTGGAGTACAGGAGTCGTACAGTAAGCATGCGCGAGTCCGTTATAATAATGCGTGTATCAGTGCTCACGCACTGATCGCACATTGCATTTATGCACAGGCACAGACATTTCCGTACATCCACGTTGTTTCCACACACATTCACAATAGTGTTTTGATTTGTCATGTTTATGTTGCTGTGTTTAGTTATACTGAATGAATCAGTGTACTGTAGTATATATATGCAGTCAGCAGCAGTTAGTTTAGTTATTTTTTATTTATTTTTGGCATCTCCATTGTGGTCCTGTTCGGTATCGCAACTTGGCTCCTCTAAAATGTAAAAAAGCTCTTTGCTGTTGCACTGTACACACACTATAAAATTCTGATTTTTTTTTTCTTTCACATGTGCTTATATGGGCTCCTTATATCATTTGGTTCTTTGGTGTCCTTTTGGAGTTTCTAAGTGTCCTTTTTTGGAAAGACATCTAAATTTATCTTGAAAAAAGCTTGCAGAAAATACAGATTTTTAAGAATCACCCTTCAATCTTCTGGTTTACTTTACTGGATTGACAGCCCTAATATATATATATATAATTATGTGTGTTTTTGCCATCTTTCTTTACAATAGACACTACTTGGTTTGGTATTTAATTAATGCAATGGCAATCATCCTTTTAAAGTCTCAAGTGTCCAACTACTTCTTGGGATCACTACAGTCAGTTGTGCATCTGATCTGAGGGATCTCCACATATCAGTCAGCATCTACAGGACTGCGTGATACACAGCAGCTCTGTCAGAAGAGATGGCCTCTTCAGACCTTATCGCATACAGACAGGGAGCAAGAATACTCTATTACCAGAGTGCCAGTCCGGGAACACTTCATTCCTCCAGCTGTCATTTTCTAAGCAATCTTCCGCACCCGCCGGATCTGAATGCTGATAAGGTCGGATTGTGCTTGTCTCATTCTCGCTCTCAATTGCAATCTCCGGCGAAACCAAGCTGATCAATAATTAAACATCACGATCTTCCGCATGTTATGAGACATTACGATGTGGATCAATAAGGAGCGGATGGACCAGATGAGGGAAGGAGTGAGATACAGAGAGCAGAGACGGGGAAATATGAAGCAGGCGTGTGCTAATACATGTTAAGGAGCATTAAAAGGCTGTTTCCTGCTTCCGAGTGCCATAAGGACATTAAGAGGTAGAGAGTCCCTTTGAGGATGACCTCTGGTGGGGTTACATTTGAGTGATGGGAGCATATAGTCATTGCCATCTGTTTTTCCTCAAGTCAGACCTTAGATAAAAGGACTGGGATTTACTGGCACATATCGGCTCTTGTGTTGTTTGACGCCACATCGATAAATACGTTAAGACTTAGATGGTGGACATGATGTTTTAGCATCAGTTTGTTCAATGTTTTGTTATGAGAGCGTAGCTGGCACGGCATGGCGAATTTAAAACGTCAGTGTAAAGTTACCAGAGGACTGAGCATTTGTAGTGAGTGAGTATATATACTCTAGTTGATGTGGTTTAAAAGGTTAGCGTCCAGTTTCAGAGAGCACTAGTGTAGCTCACGTCCCTCTGTACGGGGCTATTCTGTCGTTTTGAATATTTCATTATCCGTTTGGATAATTCAAGTTTTATTTATGGCGTAGAAGGCAGCCCTGTATCTGTACAAGACATCTGTAGACATGCATCTATACGTCTTTTCTGCGTCCACTTCCTGGTTACCATGCGGTCCTGTGACCTTGACCCCTATCATGTGGCACAGGCAGGAAACCGAGGACAGAATGGTATCCGGTAACCAGAGAGCCTGTGACATTCAGTGCCTCTTGAGGTACAAAGCATCTCGGGTGTCACTAGTGAAATTCAAAATGCTTCTACCCCGTTACCTTCCTAAAATACAACCCAACATTTTGATACATGCTCGAGAATTCAGGGCGGAATAATGTGACAGCTCGGTCTGGCTAGACTGGATTTGAAACAAAATTAGATTGTCTGCATTAAAATCAATGGAGATGTCTGCATTGGAAATGCTTCATGTGACGCGATGGACATCTTTTTTTTTTTTTTTTGGTCAGGAAGATTTTTTTTCTTTTTTTGAAAGAAAAAAGAAATGCATACTTTTATTCAGCAAGGACACATTAAATTTGTCAAAAGTGACAGTAAAGACATTTAAAAAAAGTTACAAAAGATTTAAATTCCAAAAATGTTTCTTGAGAAGCAAATATCAGCATATTAGAATGATTTCTGATGGATCATGTGACACTGAAGACTGGAGTAATCATGCTGAAAATTCAGCTTTGCATCAGAGGAATTAATTACATTTTAAAATATATTCAAATAAAAAAAAGTTATTTTAAATGGTAATAATATTTAGCAATATTAGTGTTTATTGTATTTTTGATCAAAATAAACTTCCAATCAATTTCAGTCAAACTACAATATACTACAATACTTTTGACATAAACAGTGTTGTCATTGTAAAAATAAATAAAGTAATTAATATAAATAAATAAATTAGCATTATTATTAAAATATTTAAAAATGGTATTCAAATATGTAGTATTTTTTATAAATTGAACAAATAATAAAAATAACTAAACATGTTTATCAATAATACAATACTGTTTATGTGTAATTTAATGTGTAATTTATTGTAGGGTAATAATGTAATTAAAATATTTCAAATATATTGACACAGAAAACAGCTATTTTAAACTGTAATAATAATTGTAGTAATACTTACTGTTTTACTGTATTTTTTATCAAATAAATGCAGCCTTGGTGAGAATAAGAGACTTCTTTCAAAAATATTTTAAACACCAAACTTTTTAAATTACTTCTGAATATTGCATTAAAAGCAGCTTGTGATGTCATAATGCTGAATTAGATGTTAGAATGTGTTCTCAAAATTTATTTGGCTTGTAAACAGAGTAGACATGACACATGTTTATTTGTAGGCAGGTCTTGTAGTAACAGTCCATTACGTCGCCGTTTGGCTCTCATGTACGGACACAAGAACCAGCACTCTTTTGGTGTCAGAAGAGGTGTCATCCAAGTCAGCCGGACAGTTTGCCGTTTTCATGATGATACCATTCTGTAATAATATTTGTTGTTCACGGTTTGTTTTATACCAATAAGATATCAACAGCGTAGATATCTGAGGTACTGTCAGTCAGCTGATGAGGTGATGCAGCGGTCACTTAGATTATCGCTATATCGAAGCCTCTTTCTCTCAGCCTGTATGCAAGCCATTCACTATGTGGCAAGGTCTAAAAAAATATCAACATACTAATACTAATAATAATGACTTGAATGAGAATCTGTCTATTTTGCAGTATTTTTAGTCATACAAGAACTCTAGGAAATACAATTGCGTGGTTTCTCAAGTGTGTCTCACAGGTAAACCTAAAATGTCTTTTCGCGGGTCCTGGACCACTGCAGACAGGACTGCTTACACTGTTTGTATGTTCATTAGAATAATGACAGGCTTCTGTCATTCTTTGCCTGAGCCAGAACAAACTGGATTGGAAATACAGGACGCTGAGGCCATTACAGAGAAACTAGGATGCTCCCTTTTTTTTAAAGTCAAACAATCCATGGCTCTCAGCGCTTGGCAATATGACAACACAGCTGAGTCAGAGAGAGCGAGAGTGCGAGGACCCCAGCTCTCCATTCAGGAACCTTACACTGCTCCGGTTAGGTCGAATGACAACGGCTCACTGTTTTGCATTTAATAACAACCGGCCCACGCGAGTTTACAACAAGTGCGTGTTCCACTTTATGGAAGAACACCTCAGGGCCACAGCGTTATACATATAGTTTACATATTCATTAATCATTTCAGGCCAGCATAAGTTTCATAATGTGGGGGCCTCAGCAGGGGGCCACAAATTACATATAGAGAGTGACAGGTGCACTGTGGTGGCCTCTCGCTTTCAATTATTATGAAAGCACATTTCCATTACTGGACCCCACATAGGACTTGGTAAGTAAAGCAGGGAGATTATGCAGACATGGAACAATTATGAAACAGGAACATTTTCAATCCCTGGTCCAAAACCTAGTGAGCTGCCTTTTCTGTCTACATAAGCAGCTTCTATGGAACTGAAATGGAACTTCAGAAGAGGCTGAGATGCAACTTACAATTTGTAGCAATAGTTTAATTTAAACGTACAATAACATATTTACATTATATAAAGTTGATGGCTAACTTGTAGCCTCTTTGTATAGATAGACTCTTTGTTGGGACCCCGTCTATGCAACCTACATAGGCATCTCACTAGGTTTTGGAACAGAGCCACAGTCACTCAGATGATACTACAGTTATGCGAGACGGCGCAGTATGTTGTAGATATTTCTACAAAGCACATAAACTTATAAAATGAGCTTTTGACTACCATAAATCAAAGAATTCTGTCAGCAGGTGACAGTGCCATATATCTGTCCCCAATCCCATCATCCTAACAGATGGTGTCTGCTCTAGCTATGGCTGCGTGTGCGTGCGTGCACTCTTGTATGCATACGTATTGTCTTTTTAAATGTAACTACCAACGTCACGTCCTGTGCGTTTGGCTACGGCTTCCTTATTCCTAATATGGTCTTCCTGTTAGTGATTGACAGTCACATACATTGTATTCTGATCAATGTGTTCATGCCATGCCACGGATGTCACGGTTAAAGCTATATATAAGCTAGACATTTAGGAAGATTCAGCCTTGATTCATTGAAGCTTTTTATCTGGCAGCCAGTGGCGATCATCCATTTATTATTTACGGTCAAGGTCATATATATTTATCATTTAATACGAGATTATGTAAAGACAGGAGTTAAACTATTGATGTGTCATGCGTTTATTGGGGGGGGGGGGGGGAAGCCTATCGCAAACTGCACGTGCATTAGTCTTTCTTCAACAGCAGTTGCCTCTTATTTCTAGAAGTCATATTTGAATAGATCACACCAGAGAGTGAAACATAAATGAAAGATAGACAGAACGTAATCTAGTTGGATTAGATAGGAATTGTAAGTAATTTAACAATTGTAATCCATATTCTGATATATTATGAAGGGCCAAATTAGATGAATTAACAATTACAGGAAATAATTAGATGAAATATGAATAAAAATGTATTAATCCTGAATATAAAGTTGTAATTCTAAATATATAAATGTTTTAATTTATTTTATATTTATTTTGTAAATCTGAATATACATTCATAAATCTGAAAATTTAAATTTTTTTTTTATTTTATATTTTTTTCTGAACTTACATAGTTACAGTTAACAATTGCAGATGTATAACTATATTCATATATTTGGATATATTATAAATTATATATTATTATTACTATATATTTAGATTTATTCCGATTTAAAAATAAATCAATTTTACATTAAAGTACTTTTTTTTTGTTTTAAGCATAAATGTACATGTAAATAAATAAACATTATTATTATTAATAATAATAATAATAATATTTTAAACATAGTATTATCATGGTACATTTCCAAATATCACTTTACCAAAAAATTTAACATGGTTTTACAGGCATGTTTATAAAAACAACTTAGCTTCAGTATTATATTAAAAAGAGACAAATATAAGTATTCTCATACTGTTAAGAGAGCAATACAGAGAACAGAGACACATACTGTAGTGTTATTGAGGTAGAAAGCTATCAGAGAACCCTCATTAGGTTTTAATGTTTTGTGAGGGTAACCCTGCTTTCAGGACACACAGTGAGATGGTGAGAAGCACAGAGGGCACACAGTGATCTTTCCGGCGTGTTCCTGTGGAGGAGAACGGGGCTGGAGCACCACCCTTCTCCTCTAATGCACCTCTGAATACGATCTCCAGATAAGCCTTCACTCATTTCATTTGGCAGAGTGCTGAGTCTGGGATGACATGGGACCCGCTCTCACTTTCATTACCCATGATTACATCTGCCATTCGGGGTCACTGGAGACCTTCTTCCAATGGAAGAGTGGATGACAGATGCCACAAGAGAGCGTGTGCATGTAATAGTGGGTTTGTGTAAATGCCTCACCTGAGTGTGGTGGCTGTCCATGTGCCTGTGTAACGCAGAGCTGCTGGACGCATTTGACTTTGGATGTCCCTTGTCTTCCAACGTCCCTATTGAGAGAGAAATATCCGAATGTTAAATGCAACATTCTTCATGGATGTTCTGGAATATGTTGCTTTGCTGTGCACTGTAATCACATAATGCGAACACTGTATGGAAATTCCTACTTTTTTCTCTACATACAGTATGTCTGTTATTCAGCATCTACCACTTGTATTCAAACGTTGTTTTGTATAGAATTTTTGAGCCTTAGGTTTATGATTTATATGTTTGTTTTAGTTTTGTTTTTGAAATTATGTGACCATCAGATTCAGTGCTTTGGCTGCTTTCCAAGAATTAAAGTTTAAAATAGATCTGAAGTTATAGATCTGAATATATAAGTGTAAACCATGAATATATAGATGAACTCTGAAGTCTGAAAATGCTAATCTGAATCTATAAGTTATGTATAGAATATAGAGAATATATATATATATATATATATATATATATATATTTACAGGCATGTTTATAAAAACAACTTAGCTTCAGTATTATATTAAAAAGAGACAAATATAAGTATTCTCATACTGTTAAGAGAGCAATACAGAGAACAGAGACACATACTGTAGTGTTATTGAGGTAGAAAGCTATCAGAGAACCCTCATTAGGTTTTAATGTTTTGTGAGGGTAACCCTGCTTTCAGGACACACAGTGAGATGGTGAGAAGCACAGAGGGCACACAGTGATCTTCTCGGCATGTTCCTGCGGAGGAGAACAGGGCTGGAGCACCACCCTTCTCCTCTAATGCACCTCTGAATACGATCTCCAGATAAGCCTTCACTCATTTCATTTGGCAGAGTGCTGAGTCTGGGATGACATGGGACCCGCTCTCACTTTCATTACCCATGATTACATCTGCCATTCGGGGTCACTGGAGACCTTCTTCCAATGGAAGAGTGGATGACAGATGCCACAAGAGAGCGTGTGCATGTAATAGTGGGTTTGTGTAAATGCCTCACCTGAGTGTGGTGGCTGTCCATGTGCCTGTGTAACGCAGAGCTGCTGGACGCATTTGACTTTGGATGTCCCTTGTCTTCCAACGTCCCTATTGAGAGAGAAATATCAGAATGTTAAATGCAACATTCTTCATGGATGTTCTGGAATATGTTGCTTTGTTGTGCACTGTAATCACATAATGCGAACACTGTATGGAAATTCCTACTTTTTTCTCTACATACAGTATGTCTGTTATTCAGCATCTACCACTTGTATTCAAACGTTGTTTTGTATAGAATTTTTGAGCCTTAGGTTTATGATTTATATGTTTGTTTTAGTTTTGTTTTTGAAATTATGTGACCATCAGATTCAGTGCTTTGGCTGCTTTCCAAGAATTAAAGTTTAAAATAGATCTGAAGTTATAGATCTGAATATATAAGTGTAAACCATGAATATATAGATGAACTCTGAAGTCTGAAAATGCTAATCTGAATCTATAAGTTATGTATAGAATATAGAGAATATATATATATATATATATATATATATATATATCTGGCAAGACGTGCATAAAGTCTGTATAAATTCCTATATATGTGATTTTACCTCAATTCAGTCATGTGACAATAGTTTTCATGAAAACTGGTTTATTTGCAAATTATTTTTGTAATAATATTTTTTATTAACATGAGAACAAGGGTATAAATAAATTATAATATTTAATTATTGTTATTAAAAGTAATTATTAATACATAAAACTATTATGATTATCTATATTAGTATTATTAATAATAAATTAATATGGAAATGTAAATGTAAAGTAGCTACTGCCCGAATGTTTAGCAACAAGGATATCATTGCAGTTTCGATGCCCATGCATAACAGATATGCCTAAAACCTGTGCTTACATACAACTTTAACAAGATTCTTTTGCGGTCTTGCAAGCACTGGTATTTCCTTAGTTCATATACCATTATCTTGAAGATGCAGACATAATTGCTGAGTGTCTAGGTCACTGCTGGCTGTTTAAAACTTCCGCCCAATCTCTGCTACAACCCTTCATATGGAATATGGAAGTTTACCCTCACAAGCAGATATTAGCATCAGTGAGAGGACAAAAGGCCAAGACAGTGAGTGTATGTGTTTGTGCAAGGGAGACAGAGAGACCCTGAGCCATCTGATGGCTCTTTAGGAGAGCACTTTATCAAGTCCAGGGCCTTTCACTTTAATCATGGCCTACCTCGGTGATAGCTTCTGGGTCAACTCGCTCCATCTTACTTTGTCCATTTCTCCAATCCCCTTTTCTCCAATAACCGCTCTCAATCTGACATTCATTCCTTTTCTTTTACCCTCTCACTTTATCTCCAATATTTTCTCATGCGTGTAAAGCGCTGTGCCTCTGTGGTGTATGTCACGCTCAGATGGCCAAATGTTACGCAGTCATTGGTGCTGTCTCTGTGGTAAACAAACCTTGGGGGAAGGCTGGGTCGGCCAATGGCATGCGATTGAACTTTGAATAATTGGATGGATGCACATTAGGACATGCAACAGCCAATGCCCAAATGTAACATGGGATTGTGGAGTGTGTGAGTAGGTCTCCTCTGCTCTTGATCACATTCATGAAGCGAAAGAGTAATTGGCTTCACATTTTCACCCGAGTGATGATGGGTCTCATTCACTAATAACTGCATACAAGTCTTACTTATGTTGCCAGAAAATGTTCTTCAGAATTTTAGCTGCATTTAAATTAGGTCAAATTTGCAATATTTATTCCTACCCTCATTTAATGTTGATGAACATGTTGTTGATTATTCTAAATGAGGGAATACAAAGTATATAGTTATTAGCAATACCAAGTCCAAAGTCATGAATCAGACATCATATATATGTATGTATGTTACAAATACCCAATGAGAGCTTCTCTGTACTCTTTCATGGCTCTTTATACTGAAACAGAATAATTTATACTTTTATATTAATTTTCCAAAGTTATAACAATTGTAGCATTTGGACCAATTAGACACACAATTATTCATTATATTTAATGAATAATCCAGCAAACCCCCTCACCCAAAAAGCAAACTATGTGTTAGAGCTCTGTGGACAACCCCCGATAAGCAACTAACACCCCAAAAAGGCAGAACAGTTACCATGGCAAGCAATGACAAATCATCTGATAACACTGGTTTTATTGCTCAAAGGAGCAACTCTCACTCCATTTCCCCATAGGAAAGACACATAATGCCCATAAAAATGGACTCTTCCCTATTCATTCATAGAAAACCTTCTATAAATGAACATGACTATCTCCAGAACATTGTTTGTATTGTATACTGTTTTATGCATGCTTATGATAGATCAACTAGTGAATGTAACCTCATCTATAACATGTTTGTTATCTATGAATTTGTATTTTGATTATCTAAATGAGAGTTTATTTTATGTTGATACCTATGCAACGTATTTAGTGTTCTACGAATCTTTAATAGTTTTTGCATCAGCTCCCAATCCAGTTATGTATGCAAAACACCATGTTCAAAGACAGAGAGAGTCGTAAACTTTCCTTCTGAAAGATTAAGTCACCATTGGCTCACTGACCACCTGAAGGTGTGACCTCCACAGAAGTTATAAGGCCTCACATCAGTGACCCGCCTCGGCTCTTCTCTCTTCTTCGGCACTCTTACCTCCTTGCCTCTCGGACATCCAGTCCGACTGCGACCCGCTGGGCCTCCCCCGCGCCGGCAGGACATCAAAGTTGCAGCAAGCCATGTTGCAACTTTTCACTGGGGAGAGAACTCTCCCAATCACCACAGAGTCAAGAGTAACATCTTTGGAGTTCACCACTCTTCAAACCCGGGAGAATGTGATCACAATCCCAACACCACCAAACCTTTATACCATCAAGACTTTCATCCGAGACTGCAGCCGGACGCTCGTTCAACGGCCAAGGCAATGCAAGAATCGTACATTTAACTAAATGAAACAGAGGTTTAGTATAAGCTGTAGACCCCGTTGTAAAACGGCACTGATGGTTTCTGCTCTGGTTGTTAACTGACTGTTTAGTTAATAGAACTTTTGTGCACACATTACATGAGTTTCTGATTCTGTCACTGCTTGTAGATAATGTCCCTTTAACGATTCCTGATCTTGTTACATGCTCTAATAACACTAGTACTATAAGAAAGTTATTTTCTATGGCCACGAAAATATCATTTCTTAGAGTTGATATGAAATTACAGTGAATGTTTGCTGGACGAACAGATTAGTTGATGGTAATATGCTACAGTTACTACTGGCAGCTGATATAAATAATGGTAATTAATTATAATTAATTATATATATTTCCCTTTTGAGCTAATTTGCTACACAATTTTACAAAACAAATACGATTTTCACTTATTTTCAATTATTTTGTGGTTAACGAATGGGACCCAGTGTTTGGTGTCCAGTTTTTACAAGCTTCATCACCCATAACCTCTTGTGCCATTACCATTGGAGATCTGGTTGCCGTTCTCAACGGGTGCTGGGTTTGACGAGTTGGGTGAGGTGTGGTTGTTGGCATTTTTGTCCTGTAACTGTGCTGATGGAGAGATGGGGCCTTGATCCTCTTGACCTGGCAGGTTAATGTTGGAATTTGAGAGTCCTATGGAATAGAAATGAATAAAAATATTCAATAAATACATTGATTCACGTTAAGACGATGTGTAACCTATGCTTCAGCATCACATAAGGCCCCACAGACCATCTAACCATGACCGCCGCCCTATGTGTTCCCAGTTTATGACAAATAAAGGTGACGACGTGACTTGCAAGTTAACACCTGCCTGCTTGAGTCACAAACATTTCTGCAGGGGCATCTGCAGCTGCTCCGGCCAGGAATTGTAGGAATGGTTGAGTCTAGCAATGACGTTGACGGCAGAGAGAGCGGAAGCACGGGGGGATGTTTAAGCCTCATGGCATGTGTGTCTGCTTGGATCTGACCACCACAGGGATGGATATAGTACAGGGGTCAGCTGCCCCTTTAACCCCCTGTTAAAAGCCCTGTTTCCATTACAGCATGCTCTCACTCATGTCATGAGCATCTGACTTCACAGCCACCATCTGGGGTTATCAGAGATTCATTAACTGCAGCTTTGTGTCTGGGACCCCTACTGACACTACCTAATATATTCACATGAGGAAAACAGTCACATTGCATTACACTTGAGATCGGCCATTATGATTATGTGTATCTGAGCACTGATGTGATATTGGGTTTGTCTTTAAAAATATTTCCTTTTAAATTAGGTATTTCATTTCATTTCATTCTAAGTCTATAGGCTCATATATAAATACAGTAGGGTCCAAAATTCTGAGCCCCCAAATGAAAATGCTATTGTTTTGCATTTTTATAAACACATTTTTTTTTTTGGGTCAAATTATCAACATACTATTGAAAAGTAAAACAAAAATTTCCCCTTGTGATGATCCGATTACAATTAAAATGGAAATTTTTTTTTTCTTAATTCATCTAAATATTTATTTTAAATATTAATAATAATTACTCATGTGATGCAAAGCTGAATTTTCATCAGTCATTACTCCAGTCTTTAGTGTCACATGATCCTACAGAAATCATTCTAATATGCTGATTTGCTGTTCAAGAAATATTTCTTCTTATTACCAATGTTGAAAACAGTTGTGCTGCTTAATATTTATGTGAAAACCATGATGCATTTTTTCAGGTTTCTTTGATACATAGAAAGTTCAGAAGAACAGCATTTATTTGAAATAGAATCTTGTAACATTACTAATCTCAATTTAATGAGTCAATGAATTAATGTATAATGAAATTAAAGTATTTAAAAAAACAATCTGACCCTAAACTTTTGAACGTTAGTGTAACTATCAGGGATCAAACTTGAAAAAGAAAATGAAATTAAACAGGATACACCTGTCAATCAAGACGACTGACAGTCATGCAGAGTATATAATAGAGAAACAGTTGTGTTGTAGACATGCTTTGGAATATTTTCAAGTATGACACTAACACAAACATTATGACAGATTAATGTTTGTTCATTTCACACACACAGTTGTGAACATGTACAGTAATGCGAGAAGTGATTTCCTCTGCTCTGGAGTGACGCTGAGTGTGTCCTAAGATACGCACGCACACACACATACACACACACACACTGTACTCTGGGGATTCAAACACATTGCAGCGATTCACATCCGCCAGCAGAGCGGGAGACTTTGATATTTAATATTTCATAGCTACATCATCTCTTGTCCATGTAATATTTATGTGACTGGAGCTAATACCCTCTGTGTCCTTTACAATAAACTGAATCAACACAGAGAGGAAAAAAATTATATAATATTGAATATTTCTTACACGCAAGATGAACACACTAGGCATCTCAATCCTTCTTTGCAATCAAAGTGTTCATAATGTTTAAATGATTTTAGATATATATATAGTTAAAAAATATATGCTTCTTCTGATTGATGCAATTAGTCGTAGTGGTTGCGAAGTTAACTGTATTGATCTTTCATGATCTTGGTGATGGATACAAACAGAATGCAAACAGCTGATTCTCGGCTCCAGATAGGAAAAAGGTAAACAGCTCAACAAAAACTGACCTTTATGGTTAGATGCAACCAATTGTGCAAGTGGATTAAGATATTTAGATGGGACTTGTCAGTTGCACATATGTGAAACCACATGCAAGTTCTTACAAGCACATATGGGTCAGGGTCATAGGGGATCCATGCTCATAAATCCATGATGGGAGTAGAAGTACACAAAAGCATCTTTAATTAAATACAAAGGTTACGAGAAAGAGGCGAGGGAAACTGTTAGACACAGCATGTGAACTCAATACACACACCCAACATCCTCCCTAAGAACGTCCCCTCGTCAAATTCTTATTTCAATGTGACATTTAACACTTGCTCTTTTCCTTAAATGGGCATGTACTTAATGTGCATTATATATTAATTGCTCCCTGAGAGAGAACAAACTGCAGTTTTTACGGTAAATGTCAGTAAATGTTTTATCAGCACTGACCTCACTGTTTTTGACAAACACAAAGCATGGCACTGGATGAGTCAAGAAAAACCATACTAAACAGGATGTGCCTTTCAGTAACCACGTATATGAAATTACATTTAACCAAAAGAGTGCTGGGAAAGTTTCTATAATTTGATCCTGCAGCAAATTAAGCATAACCATGTGTGCTGGCTATAAAAATATGTGATTCATGTGTCTGGAGCATGTAATGCAAGTTTAAAAGTACAGTTCACACAAAAATGAAAATTGCGTAATTATTTACTCACCCTCATGCCGTTCTAAAACCGTATGACTGACTTTCTACTGTGAAACGCAAAAGATGATATTTTAAAGTAGTCTCTCTATCTCTTTTTTTCCATACAGTGAAAGTCAGTTTGGCCCAATGTTGTTTTGGACAAGAACAGTAGAAACATTCTTCAAACTCTGTTCTACTGTGTTCCACAGAAGAAAGAAAGTTATACAGGTTTGGAACAACATGAGGGTGGTTAAGTGATGATAGAATGCATTTTTGGGTGAGCCATTTTGTTCGATATTAAAACACTTTCTCGAATACCAGCTTGATGTTTCAGACAACTAAGTAGGCAATTTGTAAATTGATTTCAGCAAAATGAAGAAATACTGTCAATCTGTGGTGCTTTCAACACACTGCTTTTTTTTTTGGACTGAGAGGCCTGATGTGGTCCAACACTGGCTCAACTATAGGAAGTGGTGCTTGAAGTGCTTGAGAAACCTGATTGGTCACTCATTATTATGCAATTCCGTTTAGTGCCGCAAATGGCATTGGAAGTCCTTACAACACCTTTAGAACACATGTACCCAAACACGTGCATACACTCTCACTCACCGCTGTCACGAATCTTTCTTCCAGTGGTGGACTTGCGGAGCAGGCTGCGCCCTGAGCTGAAAAGGGTGTTGAGCTCGTCCAGAGGGCTGGTGAGGGGTCTCCCATTGGCAGGATTGAAGAGCAGAGGTGAGGAGGAGCAGGAATGAGCTCTACGGGGCTCCGGCCGTGAGGTCTTTACTGGGGAGAAGGGAGGCTTGGAATTGATTAGGGGTGTCTCTGCCAGACCGTGCCCTATTTTATGGGAGACTTTGGGGGAATCGGTGGTAACTACAGAAACTGCACGTGTCAGGGCCAATAAGTTTGGTTCAGGGGGAAAGGGGAAGTGGGACGGGGGGCGGTAAGGAGGTGGAAGTGCTACCGGAGGGGGAGGAGGAGTCAAGGGCGGCGTGGACTTGTCTGGCATTAAGACAGAAAGACTTGGTGAGGAGTCAGCTCTTTGACGGATGTACTGGGGTGAGAGTGGGCTGCCCCCATCCTGGCTGGTGTAGTTGAGGTTGGTCTCGAACACAGGCAGCTTCTTCACCTCCAGGGGGGTGAGGGGGGACTCATCCGAGGCCGGAGAGCAGGTGACAGGGGATGGGGGGAAGACTAGAAGTGGGGGACGGTGTGGAAGGAGGTTGGGGAATGGAGCTGGAATGTCACATGCTGTCCCATCCTTGCCCTGCTGCTTTCCTCCGAGTGTGCCAGAGTGCTCTATCAATGTCACGGGCCTCTTGACTTCCAGCACTGGGGCAGGTAGGGTAGTGGTAGCGGGATTGACAGTTTCAGGCTTGGCCACCGGAGCTGACCCCACCTCGTCAGGTGGGAAGTATTTCATTTCCTCGTATACTGCCTCTCCCAGTTCTGGACTGTGGGAGTCAGCCAGGCTGAGGGCTCGTGAGGCCCCCACCATCTCGATATATACATCCTCCTCGTCCTGACAGGGGTAGAGGCTTAGCACAGAAGAATGGGGGCCATCCACAGATGCTGCTCGCTGGATAAGGCCCAAGCAGTGTCCGCCTCGTACCAGGCTGACAAGTTTCATGTCCGTGGGGCGTGCGGGGGAAGGTACAGAGATCTCCTCATAGGAACCCGTCAGTTTGGTATTAGGGCTGCGTTTGGGCTTGGGGGGTGGGATCTTCTTCATGGTGCTGTAGTCATCACTGTGAGGGCGTGGTTTAGAGAGAGCTGGAGGTGTAGTTGGATGATGGATGGGATTGGAAGGAAAGGGAAAATCTGTTTACTGGAATGCCAGGAACAATTCTCAGTACTGAGGTAAATTAAGACATTCTGTTCCGTGTTTTATGAAACATGAACACTATATGGCCAAAAGTATGTGGACATCTGAACAACACACCTACATTGTATTAACGTTAATTATTTTGAAATCATTGTCATTAATAGCGAGCTGGTAGTCCCTGATTCCTCTTGCACCCTTCTGGAAAGGTTTTCCACTAGATGTTGGAATAGAGATACAGGGATTGCTCCAATTCTGACACAACAGCATGAGTGAGGTTAGACTTTGATGTTGGATGATGGGGTCTGGCTCTCAGTTAGTGTCCAATTCAACCCAAAGGTGTTCAGTTGGATTCAGGTTTAGGCTTTGTGCTGGTCAATACGTCATGTATAATAGAAGAGGGTGTCCACATACTTTTGGACATGTAGTGGATGTTTGAGCTCATATTTATACGTACGATCAGAAGGAGAGAGCTGGGTTGTTGGTGGGCTTCCAGATGGAGAGGCTTGACCCTCAGCAGGGCTGTCTTTGGGTGCAATACTCAGCCCTGCACTCACTGCCTCGTACGATGCACTCAGACGTGTATTGGGGTCTCGTTTGGGTTTGGGAGGAGGTTGTTTTCGTGGGGAGGAGAGGCTCCCTCCATTTCCCTCCTCAGTGGAGTATGGCGCAGGCTGAAGGGCTGCTTTGATTGAAGTCCCGATGCTGGAGTGTACCAAGCTGTCCATAACCAGGGGGAGAGGCACAGAGCTGGAGCGGAAATGCCGGAGTGGTCTGTTCCCCCCACGGCCTGCCATATCGTTAACCCTCCCACTTTTTTCAACAGCCCTAAACAAAAGGATGAATAATCATACGTTTTCTAGTGCCGTTTCTGTCATTCATCATGACTGGTATTATTACCCTTGTATCTTTTCCTCCTCCCCAATCTAGCAAATCATTATTCATTCATATGTTCATTCTTTCAATCTCACTCACTATCAGACTAGAAGCATGTGTCCTGTCTCAATGTATGATGGGTAGTTAAGGTGCTAAGCAGCTGCCAGGTATGAGAGGATTAGCCTCAACCTTCATGAAATCAATACACCAATGTCAAGCTGTCCATATCTGGACTAAGATTTCATTACACTACACTAGCCGGAATGGGTGTTCCCTTAACAATAAAGATAAATAAAACAAATTACTAGGCTTGTCAATCAATTAAAAACTGGTATCTTAATAATTACATGATAAGCAGATTTAATCAAATTCATTCACAAAAAGTGAGGCACAACGAAATGTGATAAAATAAAATCATATACACACATATGCACAAACAGCAAACATGCACTTGGTTTTCAGCATTCATTAGTATTAAAGACTCAAGAGACTTCTCATTTTCATTTAATCTCTTTCTAATTTTTTTCCCATTATACCAGTAAACGATTACAAATTAACATTGCATTATGATTCTAAACTCTGATATACAGAGCTAAAGCATGAACATATTATTTGCATTGCTGATTGTTTAAGTCTAAGCTGATTTCTATAATACTCTAATGTGAAATGCACACTCTTGTTTGATATTTACCCTATAATCTGGGCCTACCATCTGTTGTTCTCACACGAAAGGCAATGGAGTGTTGGGGTGGATGGTATTCGGGGAACAGGGGGGTGGTGACGGGTTCCAGTGACTTAAAACCCTAAGGAGATTTCAGCAACCCAGAGTGGGGGGTGGGTCTTATCTCTCTCTGATTAGCGGTATGGACCTCCTCTTGACTCACTAATTGAGTTTGCCACCTCTATATTAGCTATGAAAGCCCCATCTCTCAATCACCTGCACCTCCCTCATTTGTGATGCTAAAAGTGAATGTATGTGATAAATGTGTGTGTGTGTGTTTTGAAGAACAAGAAGCCCATCCCCTTCATAGAAGCAGATGGTCATATGCCGAATGATTGAGACACTGCTGATGACAACGGACACCCAAATACTCCTGTTTGTTTATGATTGTAACAAGAAGCCCATCCCCTTCATAGAAGCAGATGGTCATATGCCGAATGATTGAGACACTGCTGATGACAACGGACACCCAAATAATCCTGTTTGTTTATGCTTGTGTGAACAGATTTCCATTGCAGTCTCGTTAAAAAAAAAAAAAAACTCCACACCACTTCCTTGGCAACTGTTGCATAGTGTCAGACAATTGTTCATGGATAGTTTCTATGTTATCAAGTTTTTTTTTTTTTATCTTTTAACACTAGCAATTGTAAAAAGAATATTTTTTGCCTTTGGGTTCAGTTTTGGGTACTGAATATCAATTGAATAGGCAGATCTGACCTTGTAGTTTGCAGAATTTTCACTTGCAGATGGAGATGGTAGTACGTACTGTATGTGCCAATGTTAATAGTGTCTACAACTAACCTGAGACCAGTCTTCCTTTTTGCTGAATTCCCACTAACAACATCTCAAAAAGTGCAAGTACTTTTGACATCAGTGGCAAACTAAGATGCATTCTGTTCCATTTTTGTTTGCAAAGATAGAACAAGGAGAACTGATAAAACCTCCCATTAATTTTTATAGGTTCCTCAAACCCAAGTGTAAAATGCACATTTTGGAGTGTCTAATATAATCAGATACTCTATAATTTAGTGTCTAATATAATCCTTCAAGAGGGAGTCTCACAGTAGCACATACTCATCTGAGAGTCCACATCTGATTGAATTGCAGCTGACAAAACAAGATTTCTTGTTAGAGATCCTCTAAGGGATACCAATATGAATATGATTATTTCCTTGATATGTATTCTATTTTAAGAACTAATTAAACAATAGAGACAGGAGCACACTCAACTTCTGTGAAGCAAAGAACCTTATTACCCTACAAATAGCTGATGTTAATAATGATTTTAAATTGAGATGTGTTTACTGTAAAAAGAGATTACTAACAGCTCATGGTGAGTTAAAAAGTAACACATTCTCTACTTTAAGATTCACCTCTTGGGCGAGTCTTCTTCTTTGCCCACAGGTTCCGGTCGTTCGCCCAGCGGTGGAGCACTGATGTGACCCCGGAGGCGGTCGTTCTCTCGTGCAATATCGGCTGCGTTTTGGATGACCAGGCTGTCGTAGGCACGCATACCCAAGTCCTCTGCTCCCTGCAGGAACCGCTGAACGGTACACTGCTCCTGCTGCCGAGATGTGAGCCTGCGACGCACACACTGTCTGGCCAACCAGCCACGTACCACTGAATCACACATACACACGATTAAGTAAAATATGAGCCTGGTGACAGATCATACAGTATGACCACATACAGTCTCTGGTGTTCACTTTACCTTTCTGACAGATAATAATCTTCCTGTGCAGTTGATGGCAGCGGTCATTAAGGTGATCAGCCTGCCAGTATCTCAAGAAAACCTTACTGTTCCCCATCTGTGCAAGAGAATGAAAGAGGAAGAGAGATATGTAATCACCACAAGCTCTGTTCCAAAATCAAGTTTGCTGCCTACTACCTATATACATGGGGAAAATATGATTTTTTGCTGCATGTTCAATTTACTTGAAATCAGTTAAAGCAACACAATTGCTGCCCATTTTATCACAACTTAATTTCATTTTGAACAACCCACTTAAATATGTCAAATTCAAATTTTCTTAACCCATTATTGGTGAATAGTTGCATTAACTGTAACTGCATTGATAGATTTTTTACAGCATGCTTTAAACAGAACTGAATTGGGAGAGAATATGTTGAAATTAAGTGCTATTTCTTAACCCATTATTGGTGAATAGTTGCATTAACTGTAACTGCATGGATAGATTTTTTACAGCATGCTTTAAACTGAACTGAATTGGGAGAGAATATGTTGAAATTAAGTGCTATTGTATTGTAGGATATCAAACCGAATCAGACAATCTAAGATTTGGTCAAAACATGGTTGAAACATTAGGAGCACAAAATTCCACAAATTCCCTTACATATTATTGGTGGAGTTCCCTTTAAAATCTTAAATGATTCCCTTTGAGCTAAATTGACCTGTTTCCCTTACAGTATGCATTTTTGAGTAAAAGGAACAACCTGCTTGTGTTTAATGTTCAGTTATTTTGGACATTTAAAAGCGTTTCTGCTGTTGAAGTTTTTGTTTTTGTGGTTAGGTTGCAGGATGGTTATATGATGATTATGGTGTTATTTGGTTCATTCAATGGACATAATTGCTAATGTCAGTGCTGCGGCACTGTATTTATTCAATTTGTTAATTGAGTCAAGTGCATTTTACTTAATTCCATTTGTGACATTTACTTAAAATATTTTATTTTGCAGAAAAATGTAAAAGAAAAAAAAGGATTATTTCAAATAAACTAAACAGTCTATACTTATCAGTATAAATGGAATATAAGTTTAATATTAAGATCAAGTATCTTCACATCAAGAGACTATGATGCCTTAAAATCCTATCTCTGTAATCCAAGCTCAATAGTTTTGGAACAACACATCTCTGTCCCTCATGAATATTTTCCTAGAGCTCTGTAGACGTATTTGGTAACTCACCTGCCAGCCCTGAAGTTTGCAATGCAGCAGAATGTGGCGGCACTTTTCCTCTGCGGATGCTTTCTTCCTATCGGTGAGGATGGTGTCCACCAGCTCTCTGTATCTGCACCACAAACCCACATAACATTCACTGTCATCCACATACTCAACTGCAGAGGAACTCTATGAACCCCTTACTGCTGCGTTAAAGCATGATGGTCACTAATGCCTGTACGGGAATGTTGTCTGCATGAACCATAAGGACTACCCACTTCCTGTTGGCCTTTTTTAACAGGGCTGAGATTTTCAAATGCAATAACCATCTAAGACTGATGTCAAACTACAAAAGACAAGGCTCAATCAGCTCCATTCCCTTGGTGGGAAAACCCACAGAGATATGCAATTCGAGGGTCAAAGAGTTTCTGAGTCCGGATGACTTCTCAGCATCTGCTGCGGTGGCTGTTGGCAAGGCAACCATTCACAGAGAAAGGTCAAACTTGGAGAGCTTTGCTGCATTGTTCTGGAGTAGAGGGATCAAGCATCTGTGGCGCGAGAGGGTAAGCTGTAGACACACCCCTCAAACATGTGTGTGTGTGTGTGTGTGTGTGTGTGTGCGTATTTGGATTATGCATTATGAACATCTGGCACAAGGGAATGGTGTTTAATAATCAACAATACTAAAGGAATTCACAAAGGAAGAACTCAAGCATACGTGATGCATGCAAATAACATCTTAAAACAATTGCTTTTCTATCTTGAATTCAATCTGTTGCTTTTCAATTTTAGGTTCAGAACATGAATGTACATTTACAGATTGTTTGTCAATAAAAATCAAGGTCTATTCAATAATGAAAGCCTATACAATTACTCCACTCAAGGTTTTCCATTTCACGCTTGATGAAAAAATGCTCTGAATTGGCCTTAGTTTATGTTCATTTTATACTTCATTGTAAAGTTCTTTTAATAAGGAATTTTTATGTCACAAACTTCTGGACACAAGATGTTAAATAATGTTTGCACAATTGTGTACAATTGCAAGGGTGATGCATTAGTATGCTGATAAGATTTTTAAAAATTTGATATAGATTACACATTTGAGAGGAGAGAGTGATATTACTCTCTAGGTCTCACTATATACTAGTTTAAAAATGAAATACTAATATGTTAATACTACACATACAAAAATAGCATAAACAATCAAAGTGCCATTACTATATGGTTGACACTCCAACATTGTAACTGGCAGTACTGCACCTTAAAGGTGTGATCACATTTACTTTTGCAGGTGAATTCCTTTCAATTCATTTGAATCAGAATCGGTAAGATTGGGAGTTTCACACGAGGACGAAAACTTCCCCATGCAGATTTCGCTCATGTTCAAGTTGGTCATGCAAATTTGCTGTGCTGACAAACAGAAAACTGCTTGGTTTAAAAGTGACTTCTTTGTGAGCAGTGATTTATACATAGCTACACCACTGGCAATGCACAATTGACGGGCTTTTTTTTGCCTACAAAATTTCACCTAAATTTTGCGAATGTGACTGGTTGCCACCCCCAACATTTCTATAGATATACTGTTATTTCTGAATTATTTTAGCCATGATAATAGTGTAGTGAAAATGTGATATTGTGACACCCATTTTTAATAGACGACAGCATTTTTCATATGTGAATGGAATACTTCTTTACACACATACTGAAATTTCAAAACAAATCTTTAGTTGTCCCGTACTCATGTTTACCCATCACATTCGCAAAACAATCTGCATTTATGATATGTCTTTCCAATAATATTTCACAAATTTGGTATTTCATTCTGCCTGCCTATTAACACTATTTAACATGTGGTGAATACTTTTTTGCAGACAGCTGCATTATGGGCCATTAATGTGTCATGCCCATGATTTGTGATGCAAGCAATCTTAGTGGGAGAGCGAAAATTGACGTCCCGACTTTCAAAAAAAATAAATAATAATTTTTACAATTCCCTCACTGTTTCCACTGAGCACAGCTCACACACTCTGGTCATGTGGCACACGGTGAACAGATGGGAGGGTGGGATTGTAGGGATGTAGTGTATTGGGGGGCTTCTCCATGCGCTCAGTCAAACACTTGCTTAAGCCTTAAGCCAAATTAACTCAGCGTCTCCCTTTCGAAGTGATTTACAGCAGCCTGGTGCTTCTGAACTTCCCCCAACCCTTCTTCTATGACCAAGACCTACGGCTTCCCAAAGGAGTCATCAACCATGAAAGGAGCCAGGGAAAGACCTCTTGTATATGAATATGAAAATTATCGATGCCCTCACAGTTTGTAGGGCCTTTGGGGATTGAGTCATATGAACTCAACAAGGTTGACTGCTTGGCAGTTAAGCTCCAAATTGGGATCATGGGAGGGGGGGTTGGATCTACCTCAATATTCACAGTAAATAGCCACAATAAAACAGTGAGGATGACAACAGACCATCATCTCTTATTCTGAGCATCATTATGGCGATAAGAACCACTGACGGCATTTCTGCTGTCAGGAAAAAAAAGCAGGGACTGTGCTCATGCATGAGCATGCATATTAATGCATAAATCAAAGTGTTCTACCTCTCAAAGTACTAGAGCTGGGCGTACTAGAAAAACAAAGGGGAAGGTACAGAGAGAGCCTTATGTAAATCAGTGTATTGTTGCAGGGTTGCCTGTTCCCAGCTGTTACACATTAAGCCTCTCACTAAGTGAAAAATAAATAAATAAATAAATATCACATGAGTGTTTGTGTAAAACAAATAAACCAGATGAAATGGGTAAGGCAGAGCCAGTTGGTGGTTTATGTTATGAGGATCTTCAGATTGAGAAGAAATTATGCACATGCAAACTGCAATATGATATCTGATGCATGCATTATGATGTATATTGTAGGTATTCATGGAAATAAATATATTTTTGTGTATTAGAAAAAAATAATAAAGGGCATACATTTAGAATGTATATAAAACTGCTTCTTTAAAGAAGAGAGTTCCTCATGATGTTTGTTGATATTTCCAGATGAAGCACTCTTTAACGGAGGTCTTGGAGATGCACTCTATCATTTAATAGTTTAAGGTCAGAAAGTTATTTATTTATTTCATTCAGCAAGGCCACATTCAATTGATCAAAAATGACCGTAAAGACGTTTATAATGTCACAAAAGATTTCTATTTCAAAATACTGTTCTTTTGAACTTCATGTTCATTAAAGAATCCTGAACAAAATGTATTACTGTTTCTGCAACAATATTAAGAAGCACAACTGTTTTTATCTTTGATAATAATAAAACTAGAATAATAATTTTAAAAAGACTGAAAATTGAAAACTGAAAATTCAGTTTTGCCATCACACTAATAAATTACATTTTAAAATGAAAACAGTTCTTTTAAAGGGGTCATATGATGCTTTTTTAAAGATCATTATTTTGTGTATTTGGTGTAACAGAATATGTTGACATGCTTTAATGTTCAAAAAACATTATTTTTCATATCTCTTTGGTTTTGAGACTTTAGTCTTTGCAACTTCAGGGATCTTATCTATGCACAATCAGCTTGTAACACTCCAAAGAGAAAGGAAAACTTGAAATTGCATCATATGACCCCTTTAAATTGTAATAATATTTCACAATATTACTATATTACAATATTAATATTTTTACTGTATTTTGATCAAATAAATGCACCCTTGGTGAACATAAGCAACTTCTTTCAAAAACATAGCAAAACTGTCGGTCAAATTTTACTGACCCCAAACCTTTTGAACGTTTTAAAACATTAATGACAGAAATAACTTGGAAAAGTTCCACAGAAACATTTCTTTCTTCTTTGGAAAACAAAACACGATCATTTTGGACGATGTGTTTTTTATCCCCTATAGTCACTGGGTCATCCAGTTTAATTTAGGATCCCACTGCTTGGACAAACATGGACAAAAACAAACTTCTTCAAAAAACCTTTTGAGTTCCTAAAAATAAAGAAAATCATACAGGTTTGAACAAAAAAAGAAAAGACATGAGGATGAGTAACTGATGACAGAATGTTTATTTTGGGGTAAACTATCCCTTTAAGAACATGGTAATGAATACTTCAGTTTTTCACTGCCTCCTCATTTTGACTAAATTAATTATTAAATTAAACCCTGTACTCTGACTCAGATCCATGCATTTGTTTCTGAGTCAGTGTGCTGTGGTGTCTGATACAGTGAGGATGCTGCATTGCGTTTAAAGGTGGATGAGTAATTTGTCCCGAGGCTTGAGCTAAACCGTGATAAATAAGCCGGTCACATTCATTAGTGCTGGGCCAGAGAGTACTGCACACCTCAGGCTACACACCACACTTCATTCATAAAGACCAAGAGGCTAGCATGATGACAGAGAAGAAAAATACTGTACACAAAGAATCAACCAAAGAATGCCACACACACACACACACACACACACACACACATATATATATATATATATATATATATATATATATATAAACTGACAATACAAATTATTTATATTTTTAAATAAATGCCTTCCTTTTGAATGTTGTTCTTTGATAATAATCAGAAATGCTTCTTGAGCATCAAATCAGCATATTATAATGATTTCTGAAGGATCATGTGACACTGACAAATGTACGTAGAAAACAGTGTGTAAAACATACTTTAATTATTTTTTTTAATTTAGTTTATATTTTCAGATTTAAGTTAATATATTATTTTTAGATTTAAGTAGATTTTTACATAATTTCTTCTTGCATAAAATGCTCTTCAATAATAATAAAAAAATAATAATAATAATAATAAAACAAAAAAGATTTAGAATCTACTTGCAACAATGTCTGTTGAAATGACTGTTCCTCTGATAGACAGATGCTTTCAGATTTAGCCTCGTGTTTGAGCCAGTGAATCAACAGACAAGTATCAACACTGACATTTTTACGAACACAATGTGGCTGATGCATGAATAAGCAGAATAAGATTAATAATCAGATTCTGTTTTAGGACATGCATTCCACATATTTTGATATAGACACATGAGAGCACACAAAAACACAAATAAACAACCTCGTACAGCTCTTGCCACACACAAAAAGACCCATTCGAACAGCTTGAATGTCAAAAAGCAAAAACGCACACAATGCTGACAGAGCGCCCCCACGAAAGGCCATGAAAATTGACCTCCGTATCAGACAACCTCCTGCTCGAAAAGCCCAAAATTTCCATCACAATCATCTGGCCTTCGTCTGCCTGCAGCCTCTCACCCTGTCTGGCCTGCTGCAGCTTTATTGTGATGCTAACACACACACACAAGCTAACCGCGCACATGGCACCACGTCACCAATGCGCTCACAGAAAAACACAGCACATCATGGGAATGTGAGAATGGATGCCACAGATTAACTAAAATAATGGAAAAGCATATGTCTCACAGAGACCATTTGCTGCGGCAAAGTTGAGAAAAGTTTGACTTTATGCAAATGAGCAGGTGACACGTGTGACTACCAATAGTAAAGATGACAATGCCATTTTTGAGAGCGATTATTTTTGTGCCACTGTTATATATCTGGATACTATCTGCTTCATTTCATGTAGTCAAAACAATATTCACTATCACGGGAGAATCTGAGCTATTTTATCCCCAGTCTAAACACAAATGTCACAAATGTCTGGGTCATTTAATCCAGAGTCAACACAAGCTGCTGTCTAGGAGCTAAAATGTTCTGTGAGGATAAAGTGTCCATAGTCCCTATTTCTCTCTCTCCCTCTTTGTCTTACGCTCTCTCTTTCTGAAAGATTCATGATGTTTACAGCCGGGTAGTGGAAACTTACAGTGTCATGTGACCAGCAGCGTCCCGATTCATTATCACACTGGAATGTTACCACAATCCTTTTATCCTTTACAGAGCGAGAGAGAAAGAGCAGCGTGTGATCTAATCAAAGCACACTGAATTACGCTGCTCAGAAAAACAGCGGGGAAGGAGATTGGAAAATTAGACACTAAAGAAAATCTAAAATGATAAAACAGTGAGAAAGACACTCAGGACAAAAGAGCAGCGATGAGGAAAAGCTCAAGGGGCCTGTTCACACAGAAAGTGTTTTTCCATTCCACTGCGATACCTTCACATTGTTTTTCTATGGAAACTTGTGCTAGATGGATGTGTTTGAACTTTGGGCTCACATCTTGCATCTAACGCATGACACCATGTTATATATATGCACAGATCAAACTTTTTAACTTGAGCTTTTAAGTTCAACTTCAAGTTCAATTTTGTGATTACAGAAGAAGATGAAGAAGGAGGAAGGAGGAGGAAGAAGAAGAAATATCAAATATTAAAAAATAAATATTATATTGTAATTTCACTGTAGAATAAAAAATAATATTTAAGAAAATATATATAATTTACATAAATTATTTAAAATATATAAATTATTTAAAAAACTAAAAAAAAAAAAAAACTCTAATAACCTCTCTGTGAACTTCGGAAAAAGTTATGTTTATGATAGAGGAATGAAATTAGAGAAAAAATGTCAAAGATGGAGTGGGAACTTTACGAGCTTCTCCAGCACTAAAATAAAGTCCGGTTTGTGCAAAGAGCGGGAACAGTCTATTCTATGGGTGTCAGTATGACATGAAGATGAGGCACTGTGTTCCTGAGGAAGATGATGCCAGAGTCACGCTGAACCCTTGCCTGACAGAAGGAACAGCCTGCTCCTCTTTCATTTTCACTCACGCTTTTATTTTCTTCTTTCACATTCTGAAAAGCACGGGGAAGATTTCTTGAAATTACATCCTGTCCCCTTTTACAATCCAATTTCCAATCTTTCTCTTTGATGCTTTATTCCATTTCTCTCTCTTCCAGTCACATTAAGTTGAGCCGAGATCAGGGTGACCCATCCGAGAGCACTTCATCCTCTCCAAAACTGCCCCATTATCACCCCATCAGGAAAACGGCCACTCAGAAAACTGTTCCCAGTGAGGCCTATGAGCATTAATCATGGTGTGAAACCAGTGTCACACCCTAGACGTTGCTCTCAGCACCTACACACACACACACACACAGGGTATATACTTTCTGCCTAACCTCAGCTGAACTGAAAGTACATCTTGAGCATATAGTGCAGACAGCTTGAGTCAGCCAGACACATATCAGCATCTGAGAAAGGGCACTTACGATATATTTCCAGCAGGAATGCCTCTTTACCTCATTTGTCCTGACGGCAGAAATGGATTGAAAAAAACTCTTGTGCTGAGTGTATACAGTAGAAACATAAATATATGTCCACAGAAACAGAGTTTAACAGATGGCTTAACCTTAGTTAGTCTTTACATAATACATATACGTATATGGTCTTTATGGGAAACATACTAGGACAGGGGTGTCAAACTCAATTACTGGAGGGCTTGAAGTCTGCAGTTTTGTTCCAACCCTGCTCCAACACACATACCATATAGTTTTCAAATAAGCCTGACGGACTAGATTAGTTGAATCAGGTGTTTGAAGTAGGGTTAAATCTAAACACTGCAGGGCTCCGGCCCTCCAGGAATTGAGTTTGGCACCCCTGTACTAGGATATGAACTGCTTGATTTAAAAGCAGACACAAGGAAAAGTAAGACCCACTACTCTATCTGAATATATTTTAAAAAGTAATTATTTTTCCTATGAAGGCAATGCTTCAGTGTCACATGATCCTTCAGAAATCATTCTAATATGCTGATTTGCTGCTTAAGAGACATTTATCTTACTGACCCCAAACTTTTGAACAGTAGTGAATATTTATGTTTATTTATGTAAGAGTATGTAAGTATTCTAATTTAAAGAACATGGGGTTTGCTGGATAAAACGGTAATGGGATACCTATTTGTACCCTATCTAGCCACGGAAAGTGCCTTACAGTGCCCAATTGAAGAGTTGAGAATCTTACCTGCTCAGGAAGCTGGTGAAAGACAGGCGGACTGGGTATCCATAGCGGATCATGCGGACCATCTCCAGAACTCCCACGTACTGGAGTTGTGAGGACACGTGGAAGCTGTCAAACACATCAGGCTTCCCAGCACTGTTGGGCCTGACACACTGAACAAAGTGAGGCGTACACGCTTTCAGCTTACTGGTGATCTCACACAGAGAGTTCTGGAACGAGAGAGAGCAGCAGGAAAAGACAGGTAATACTGTTGTTTACATACTGTTACATTCAGATTTATCTCAATGACTCCCATTTGCTTCCATTTTTGTAGCAACATGAGTCATGGTACAACCTCCTCTCACCAGGTGTCACCACTGACACGAAGGCCCAGACAGAACATGTTTCTTTTATTGCAATATCTTCACTGAGAAACAAGGAGAAAACTGGTATGACTTTTTCTGTGAAACACAAAAGGAGATATGTTTTCCATATAAGGAAAGTGAATGGGGACTGGAGCTGTCAAACTCCAAAATGACAAAAAAAAGCACTATGAAAGAACCTTGTGCATGTGACTCACAACGTCAGATGACTTGAAATGTTAAAAACGCATCGTTAGTGCAGATTTAAGCTTGAATGTTTTGCAGTAAAGAAAGAAGGAAATGTATCACAAATATAGACTCTTTCATGATCCAGAAAATGCTAAAAATGTGTTCTCATCTCGTGCAGCAGAAGTGGTTCAATCGAAACGCTGCATCTGTAACTGCATGAGAGAATAATATATGAGCTGTGAGTTTTCCGCTGACTGTTGCAAGCTTTATTTAACATTACAACTGACAACAAATGAAATATTCGGAGTCAGATACGCAAATTATTATGTTGTGACGTCACTACAGGGAAATAACCTGATTTATTAAAGGGGTCATATGACGTTGCTAAAAAGAACACTATGTTGTGTATTTGGTGTAATGCAATGTGTTTATGCGGTTTAAGGTTAAAAAAACACATTATTTTCCACATACTGTACATTATTGTTTCTCCTCTATGCCCTGCCTTTCTGAAACGCGTCGATTTTTACAAAGCTCATCGTTCTAAAAAAGCGAGGTGTGCTCTGATTGGCCAGCTATCCAGTGCGTTGTGATTGGCCGAATACCTCAAGCGTGAGACGGAAATGTTACGCCCCTCAC